AGGCCAAAGTGAGCCGCACTGACGGACATGCGGCACAATGCGGAAGGTGATGGAGACAGAACGTGGTCGCGATATTAGTCCACACTCAGGTCTACCGAGAACATGCTCAGGGACATCGTGAACAAACTGACACCCTCCTCTTGCAACTGCAACAACTTTTGAGGTGCCCTTAGCTCATTTACAAGGTAAAGATGGGTCATGAGATCATGAAGCGACATCTCGATGACAGGCGTCTGCGTCGATGGACATCAGGTTCGTCGGGTTCTGCATGCTGCCCACAGCATCCGCAGGCATCTTCAGGCAGTGGCTGTAAATCAACCTGAACTCGACGACACGGTGAGGTCAGCAAGTGTACAATGCCTCCTTCTGCTTTCTGGGGTTTTGTGGCTTTCGGCTACCAATCTCTCCTTTAGCATAGGGTGTTGTTCCATAGTTTGTAATGCACATCGCGAAACATCGGTAGCGAAACATCGGTAGCAACTCTGATGGTGCCTTTCTTGCTACTGACCCCTTCTGTCTTCACCTCAAGAATGCTAGCTTTGCCGTCGTTGCTCGTGCACAAGACATGTTGCCTGTCCTGGAGTCCTGCGCCGGTCCAGCAAAGCACAATGGTTGGCAACGGCAACTGTCATCTGTCATCGTCGTCATGTTCCTCACCATTTAGAACCCTTCTGCTGAAGAGCCAAGATCAATCCTCGGAATGCGCGTCGCACGACTCGAGTGCTAGGTTCGGAGCCCTTCAACGGGATGTGAAACCTTAAAAGCGTCTGAGGGAAGTGCCGCTGAATGCCAATCCGCATCGTAAGCCCAGCAGTGTGGCCCTGAGCCGTCTTCCAACTCTCGTTCAACTTCTTGGTGGCATGCAGATATGATGCTTCTTGATACTATGAAGAAAGACACGAGGACATAGCACATATGGCATTGGGCCGGCTCAAGAGGACGAAGTTCATGAACATGATGCTGCCGATTATGTTGATAATGCTGCCGATTCTGGAAGTGATGTTGGTGCTGATACTGGTGATGCCGGTGGTGCTGATGGCAATGAGACTGATTTCCATGAACACTCCAATGATGATACCTGAAAGTGCTACGTTGACGATGGTTGCAGAGGACCACAGAGGCTTCTGTCATGAAGCGAGCACTGGGACAGTGTGGAAGAGTACGGGCCGGCCTGGAATTGCGAGCTCCCGACACCAATCGCGATAGCGACCTTTTGCCGGGACACTTCTGTAAGATTGCCCCATGCCGCCGGGCAGTCGTTGGCCGAAGCATGTAAATTTATAAGGAGCAATATACACTAAGCATGGTGAGGATACCCGCCGCCCAAGCAGCGGCACAGCACATGGCACGGCAGGGCACGCATAGACACATAAACACAGTAGTATGTACACATATATGAAAATAATAATGATGTGCATACAAGCATACATAAACATAACAACACACTCCCACATCGCTCCAGGGACGGCTCGACGGGGGCGAAGAATGGAAAGCATCTCAAGCAGTCCGAATGATTATTTGCTGACGATGCCCTTCTTTGCAGTAGCCATCACCCTGTGAGGCGACTGGTTCTAGCGGCTTGTCCTCTGCTGTTCTTGAGATGAAGTTACTGCCGGTTGCCTTGTCTCTAGATCTTTACACCCGGAGCCGGCAACCTAAATTGCCTAACGTCTAAACAGCACTCGGCATTCGGACGCAGCCCTTTCTCCGGCACTGCTCGGGTCCAAACCGAGGCTCACTGCGGGGGAGAGGCGCAGTGTTTCCACTGCGAAAGGACGTCCAAGGAGGCACCGGGTTACACGAACAATCTGTGGTTTGAAGTTAGACGTGTTTGGATGTTCGTGAGGGTTTTCGTAAAAGGGAAAGCAAGCTAACCTCGAACAAGTGCCACATGGGTTGTAGGAAAGTTTTCCTGTCTTGAGCTGTGGGATTTGTGTCAGCGTCAGCATTATACTGGTTCGGGCTTGAGTGCGCATGCATCCACATGAGCTCAGGATATTCTAATATCAAGCTTGTGCTTGGGTTCGACATAGAACAAGTGGGGGCAGACGCCTTTTAGGAGGGTCCACTTACTCGAGCGTCTTGCGAACAATTATTTCACACTCCTTCAGGTCCGGGAGGCCGGGCCAACTGAATATGCATCCCAAGCAAGTCGTCGTACAAGGCGGCTCAAGATCACTACGGCGAGATGGCTCATGTCCCGGTGTTTCTCCGAAGCTTGAGATCTACTTTGAAATCATTGAGACAGCTCCTAGTCCTACATCACGTCCGGCCGACCGATCGGCAGCAGGACAAGTAGCGCCAACGGCTCTCCACGAACCCCAGAAATACAGCCACGCTAGTATCCTCACCCCCTGACCGCAGACTCAAACTGGGAACTGCTCGCTAGCAAAGGCCGCCAGAATAGATACTGCATGGTAGGATCTCTATTTCTGTACCATATTCCTTCCTAAAGGCTAACCAGCTTAAACCGAGGAAAAAACGGAAAGCAGTCGTCCTGACTGTGACCGTAGTAGTCTCCTTGAAACAACTACAAGTACAAGCAGCAGTGGTTGCAGCAATAGTCGTGGTGGTAGAAGTACTAGTAGTAGTAGTAGTCGTCGTCGTCGTAGTAGTAGTAGTGGTAGTAGTGGTACTATTAGCAGTAGAAGTAGCAGTAGCAGCAGGAGTAGCAGCAGCAGCAGCAGCAGCAGCAGTAGTAGTAGTAGTAGTAGCAATATCAGCAGTATCAGTAGGAGGAGGAGGAGCAGCAGCAGCAGTACAGTGCAATGGCAGTGGCAGTAGTAGAACCTACCAGTAGCAGTGGCCGCAGCGGCAGCAGCAGCAGCACCGAGAAGGACAATAGCAGCCGCGAAACAAAGACACAGAGCGCCGGAAACGACAGGATCTATTAGTGATGCCTATCCGACGACCTCATGACCTAAACCATCGATCAAGCCCTGGCCCAAAACAGTGCCAACAATGCAGTCCAAATGAAACCAATCCTGAGGCAGTCAGCCTGAAGCCTTACTTACAATCCTCGTTCTTTCTGCCTCTCACGAGCTGCTCACCAACTGCTCTGGTTTTGGGCCGCCGGTGCGCCCCAGTCACCTGGATTGCCTCCATCGCGGGGTAGTTACACAACCACTGCGCATGGTGATGTGCCGTACATAATAATGGAAGAACAAGCCTGGTATGGCCAGTCTCCCTCTCTCGCTCGAACACGTGAATGTGCAGCATGCATTGCACTTTGCACTTCTCTATGCCCTAGCAACGATCTGTATACATACTCACGACGCACCAGCGAGTGGCATGCTGTCAACGTTCCGCCAGATAGACCCTCATGCCGTCTTGATGTTAAAGTCGACTCCGAGGGCACAGCCTCCGGCCGCCGGCGCGTCCCAGGCTGCAGCATCGCGAGTCATGTCGTCCCAATTGCCTGCTGTTTTGACGTGAAACATACAGAGAGAGAGAGAGAGAGAGAGAGAGAGAAGCGGAGAGATGAAGATACAGGAAAGGATCAAGAAGCGAAAACATGCTAAAGACAGACAGATCAATAGTATCATTACAATCAAAAAAGTAGATATGCAGATAGATAGACGGTTGGATGCGTGCGTGTGTGCGTGCGTGCTCGCATGTGCATGGGCGTGCGTGCGAATGTCGCGGATGCGTGCGTGCAAGGCCTGTGCTCCCCCTGCAAGGAAGGATGTAGAGGCCATGCCCTCAGGGGCCCGCCAGTGTGCTCACTACTTCTGGAGGAATGCGACCTTTGGCTTATTATGCTCCAAACAAGCTAGTGACTTTTCCCCCAATAACAACACTGAAACAATGCTGCAAACAAGGAAAGACGCGCTCAGGACTCTCCCCCTCCCTCTGTCTCCCTGAAAATCTCTGCTCTCCGGAGGCCGTTCCCTCTAATATGTGAGGAAGATGCCACCACCACCAGCACCTTCCCAGGCAGCCGGAGGTGCCCACTCCTGCTGATCTAGGTCCGGGAGTCTGGGGTCTAAGGAGACATGTGTTGAGGTGTCCTCATAATGCAAAAGATCCACTGTTTTGGAGTCTAAACTAGGATCGAGAGAACTAGTTGCTCTATCCGTGCCGTTGGACTACCCGAACTTTCTGAAGCATCTCATGCGCAACCGCCGGGCCAGGATGTGCCCCAAAAGAAGCTCAGAAACTTCCGCCCTTAGCGCGCAATAACTTTAAACTTTGGAGGCTTCCCACAAGTTTAAGTCACGGAGCATCGGACGTCGGCCAAGCGGCTAAGGACTCCGAAGACGATTTTATTGTCTTTTTTGTCTTTTCAGAGGCCGCGCTTGGAGTCACCCCAGTTTCCCAGAACCCCTTGGATCCTGCGGGTGGCCGTAGTTCTGAGACACGGACATGTGATGCTCGGGCTCCTCGTCCTGCATCACCTCCTCGTGACAAGAGCGGAGGGAAGAGCGGAGCATGCAGCTGAATAGAACATCCTGTCAAACAGGTTCCTGATCTCTGACCGTGTCATGGCTGGCTTTTTGCCTCGATTGCGTGGTTCCTCCACTGTTCCAAACGTTTAGCAGGCCCTACAACACACGGCGCGCATTCTACGTGATGCTTCAGCCAAATGCTTGTTTGGGAGTCTTGGTATGTCTCTAAACCGGCTGTGGCCTATGCCGCCACAACATGCAAAGTTCTCAAGAGCAATGGGGGCCCTGGGTTTCAAGTGAAGTCCAGAAGCCAAGCTCACTAGCTCACCCACCACAAAGCAGGTGAGACGATGGCAAACTTTCGGTGTTTGGTTCTGCCATAGGTCTGCTTGTGCTTTGAAACTTGAAGTGTCCTGTCACGGTCGTTTCGATGCCGGAGGAGGCCCCGACACTTTACTTTCACTTAGTGCTCACCACCTCCTGCACACGTCCTGCGCTTGCAAGTCCAGTCTCTCGTTAAAGTCCCGAATCTCAAAGATCTTGCCCGCAACAAGTAAGAAAAAAACCCTGAAACAGAAACAGTGCCATGCCTCCAGTGCACCCTCAACCGACTCACCCCAGAGGGATGGCCTCTGGATCCCTCCAGAAGAAAGAGTCGACCATGACATCCCAAGGCTGATTTCGAGGAATGCGGCCACGGAGGTACCTGGGCTCCGGGAAACACCCGCTCTACAAAACAACGACATGCATACACAAGAAAGCTCGGCAACATCGATGCCTCCGCTGAGACCAGCCCGAACAAGTCTGGGCTTGCTTTGGGTTTGACTTGGCGTCGGTGCGGCTTGGCATGTTGCCCCGCAGTCGCTTGGCCTTTGATTCCAAATCTCGGGTTCTCGGAGGTTGAGAAATCGCGAGCTTCGGCATGGTAGGTCACGTTCAGTGATGCACCAGACAAAGACCCAGAAGCTAAAGACATGACCCTGCCGGATACACGAAGGCTGTGGCACCGAATTCTTCGACTTTCAACCAATCCTCTCCTCCAAATGCGAATTTCCCGCACTCGTCTACTCTCCCGTCGACACATCAAAGCTCCGAAAAAATCTGGGGATTTATACAAACTTATGGCCTGTTCCATTTTGATGCTTGTTGTTCGACATGTCGTACTCTTGCAGCTTGCCTCGTGCTTCTGACTGGCTGCTTTCCGCTTCTGTCGTTGCTGTCTATGTTGACATTGCTGCCTTTCGCCGTCTTCCTGATGACTCAACCTGCTGTGCTTGTGTTGCCATTGGCACCGGCATTTTCGTGTCCAAGCTCGCTTTTGTGGTGGATCTCAAGCTGTCTGGTACCATGGGCGAGTAGATTTGCGGCCCCCAGACTTGAACTTGGGCGTGTGGGGGACCCCTAATAGTTGGCTCATCCCTTTTGCCTCCAGTCCGCCGAAGGTTTTTGCTAGGATCACTGACAGCAGACTCCAACAAGCAAACTGGCGCAAACCTTGTGTTGTCCTCTTGCAGTCGTGATCTACAGGCATAAGTTGCATAAAGCTACTGGAGTCCATGATAACCCGCTCAGTACCATGTGCAACGTGGCAGCCGGCGAATTTTGCGGACCAGGATGCTGCACCTCCCTTGCCAGCATCCAGTACAGCAGCGCGATGGACTCCTTACCCTGCAGTGTTAGTGAAAGGAGGGGTGTTCCTTCAGCCCTGATCCAAGAAAAAGGGGAACGCAAGCGAGCACCGCCCCTCGTGTGCGCTCAGTTTTGGTCTCTTGGGCTTACGGCCCGGCCTTGTTGTTGGCAGGGATCGCTACATCCACGTTGTCCACGGGAGAGTCGGTGTCGCACAACGCAATCACCGGGATGCTGGCATAAGCAGCCTCTTTGATGGCCTGTCTTACATGAAACTTGCGGGTTTCGACAAGGGCGGTGCAAATGGTGGACAGTGTCATGGTTTCTGTAGCAGCCAGCCCTACCTGCCAGGAAGACGGAGTCTGTAGCCTACGTGCACGAATATCTACGGCTCTTCCCAAAAACGGCAGCAAGATTGCTTCCACTTGTGGCTAGGATCCCCGAGACAGGAAGTGATTCCAAATGGTCACTCCCCGACACTCACGAAACTCAAGCATCCCGTGTCACCGTGTCACCTGGTTATCTGTGCGGGGGTCCGTCACGATGAGAAGCCTAGGCTCCAAGTACTTCTGCGTGATCTGATTCGTGAGGGTACCTGGGCATCGATGTATGCACGTGAATACAAATTGCTATTAGGCATTAATACCAGCCGTAGCCAAGGCCCACGACGACTCGAGGCGAAGGAGAATGTTCGAGTCTGTTGGAGATTCGAGGCCCCGCGAACTATCAGTAGGGCGGGGCGAGATTATGATGAAGAACGCAGAGTGCAGCATTACTCTTACATACTCTTACCATTTACTTTCCCGAAAATCTTCTTGAACAAGGAAGAACTGGAGAAACCCAAGTCACGATCCTTGCACTTTAGGAAAAGAGCCTAAAGATCTGAGCACTCCCCGTGCCCGAGCCTGGCGTCCATCTGCCAGCCAAGGGATTCGCACCAGTGTATTGACCTCAGGACTTGGAAGGTAATCGATTAGCCCCCCCCCTGATTCAAATCCCACAAGGAGTCGGATCCAGAAGAAATATCGAACAAGGGTTCCCGAATCAGAGTCCCAAGTAAGAAGCTTACTCATCATCCTACATCGAAGCGCCCCAAGCAAACACGGCAGTCTTCATCACCCTAAACCCTTAAGGTTGCACACCACATATGCAAACTCTCCTACAATAGGCGGGCGGGGTTTCAATGCTCCGGCCCTCTACCATACTCGAGTCTCTGGAGTTGTTGGTTTAGCAATTGGAGTCGGTGGAGGTCGCGGCAACGCCTCCATGGGAAGACTATCGCGGAAGTCATGCGACGGGGGCTGGAAAAAAGATGATTGCAACTCAAGCTACCCGGTACCCTGAACCCCAAGACTCCAGAATCTGTGATACCCTAAAGCCGCCCATTGTCTTTGCTGCCTGGATACTAAACTTCAGCACGGCGCGGGAACCATATGGTCGCTGCGAGGCTACCTGAAAGGCATTGGAGGAAACGAGCAGCTCAAGCGAAGCTAGGTAGCTAGCTCTGCATCCAAAGCTTCACATCTCACATTACATGCAAGCTCGGCTCCTGTCTCAGGAAACCAGAAAAAGCCAAATTTGTCGAAGCATCATCGCCCAGGAGAGAGCTAAACCCTTGCTTTCTGCATGGGCAGTGGATGCAGATTTTTCGATTCAGATCTTCATCGAGGCAGCGCAAAAGCGGCCACCATCGCAAGCGGCCGATGTATCCAGCACCGAGCAGTAAAACTTCAGTGAACGGAAGTTTTGGCGATCTCACCGCACGCGCGTTTAGAGCTTGTAGACCTATGCAGGTATGAAGTTCACTGTCCTTCCCCGGCCAGGTTACGATGATGTCAAGCGGATTCTCAATGGCCACAATGATTCCTGAACGCAGCAAGCATGTCAAACACAACACCTTCCTTCCTTTCCGAGCGAAGATGTGAAAAGTCTATGTGAATGTAACATAGCCCTAAGCTCTATAAACATTAATTAAAAAGCTTACCCCGGAACTCTCGTTTTGATCCCTTGCTGAGCCGAGACTTACGACAGAAGCGACATGCCAACGGCACAGCTTACTTCCACAGCAAGCCACACTCTGACATGCTCGCAAAAACAGGGAAAGGCGGTTGCACTCCATGTTAACATCACCGCAGCATGCTGCAAAACACTGCGATGGAGACTGGGGAGCTGTGGCAGTACAACGTCCAATGTTTCAGGACCGCACAACACATCAATCGCAAATACTTAACCCTAAACCAAGACCCTAACAAACTTCATCCTAAACTCCTAAACCCTCTTATCCTTAAAGCCTTAAAGAGCTTGCAGCCAAGCTTCTCGCAGCCACCTGGATCTTCCTCACATAAAGCGGCCCTATGGTCTGCCGTAAGGCTGGCAGAAGGGGCTGAGGGTTTAGGGGAAGCCCTAAGGTGGCGAATCTGACTCTGGGTCCTACAGGGAGTTGTAAGGTTTTATTCGGGTTCTATGGTGCAAGGTTTAGGAGAAGCTCGAGAACGGAGCAATATCGGTTTAGGTGGCTTTGTATTGCTATGCTCAGGGGCTAGCCGAACGGGCAGTTCCCCTTCCCTGCTCGTCAGAGCGGCCCAATCCACCATTTTGGCCGGATGGGCTCAGCTAGTAGTAGTCGCAGATAGTAGATAGTAGTCCGAGTCGTAGTCTTAGTCGTCGTCGTCGTAGTAGTAGTAGTAGTAGCAGCAGTAGTGGTAGTACTAGTAGTAGTAGTAGTAGTAGTAGTAGTAGTAGCAGTAGTAGTAGCAGTAGCAGTAGCAGTAGCAGTAGCAGTAGCAGTAGCAGTAGCAGTAGCAGAAGTAGTAGCAGAAGTAGGAGCAGAAGTAGGAGCAGAAGTAGGAGCAGAAGTAGTAGTAGTAGTAGTAGTAGTAGCAGCAGTAGCAGTAGTAGTAGCAGTAGCAGTAGCAATAGCAGTAGCAGTAGCAGTAGCAGAAGGAGTAGTAGTAGTAGTAGTAGTAGCAGCAGTAGCAGCAGTGGCAATAGCAGTATCAGCAGTAGAACTCGCGGTCGCGTTGGCCGTGTTGGCTGCTGCTGGTTCCGGTGTGCTCGTGGTGGTTGCAGCGGTCGTGGAAGTGGTGTGATGGTGGCAGTGGTAGTTGTAGTTAGCAGCAGCCGCAGTTAAGGAAGTGGCAGGTTGTCGTCATAGTAGTACTCGAGCAATACCTACTAGTAAGGATGCAAACCGCATCTCCTACGGCTGCCCCCATATCCGGCTTGTCCGCTCCATGCTCACACTCGGACTCTCCAGAAAAGGCATGTGCGATCTTGTAGCAGTGGGGGAACTCAGGCCTCCGAGCGAAATTCAGTTGACACAGTCGTGCGGCTCCCAGGTCTTTCCGAGCTGAATGATGTGGATCCCCTCCACAGTTCGGCGGAAGATGTATCGCTTCATGCGGTAGTCCACGTTACCTGGCTGTAGGAGAAGTCAGGCAAACTGGCTTCGATTATTGTAAAGTCAGTTTTGGCCGGGATTATGCCTGGAAGCCAGCTCTTGCTTGCAGGATGAAAGCGTGGACTTCAAATCCAAAATCCAAGAAGCATTCTGCTGGCGACCAAGCTGCGCGTGCCGAGGTGAGTCTTGCAAACCAACCTGATATCTGTTGGGGAAACCTAAACTTCGGGGCTCGTCCTGTGTAGGGCTCCTGAACATATAGTACCCGCAACCAGGAACCTCAGTGATTCTGCACGAAGACCCTGTAATCAGGCATACTTGCGTCATCTCTGTCTAATACCGTATGACTGAAAGAAGGCACATGTAACATGTATGGTTGCAATCAGGCCCACTCAAGTAGGCCAGTCCGTAGCGGCGGGGAGGGAACTGGTTACCTGCCTTCTGCTCGGAAGCACTAGAAGGCCGAACTCGCAAAAAAGCTGCGGAAGCTTGATCTCGTGCGAGGGAACCACGATGAAAGCAGGCAAAGGCAAAAGGTTGGCCCTTGGGGGACTTGATCGTCTTAAGTGCTGGCGCAAAAGACGGACACGGACACTGATCAACTAAGGACTGTCTTCCAACACCTGCGTTCACCCGAAAGGCAGCTCTCTTCTATTTATTATGTTTTTCTTCCTTATTTGTTTACCTCTTCTTTTTATTCTATTTATGCTCTTTATTCTTGGTTTTTACGAAGGCAGAATTGAAAAAGGACATTTTAAGAATGATAATTGTATGTATCTAGGTATAGACTTCCTGATTTTTTGAATGAGGATACGCCTGGACTATTTATAATTTTATCTAATCTAGCGGTAGTATTTACATCATACATACATACATACATACCTACATACATTCAGTCACTCATTCATTACATTACATTACTACATTACATTACCTTACGTTACATTACACTACATGACATTAATTACATACAAGCGAGAATCCAGACGCTTCAATGAGCGTCTTATTGTGCGGTGTTGTGTGTATGTATTTATGTCCAAGCTTACCCCCTGACTCCCCAAAAGCCCTACATCCCTGCAAAAGCCCTCAACTTTCCCCGTAAGCCCGTCTAATTGCGAGTCTAAGGGGCATCATTTGGATGTCCTCTTCCTTGCTCGCCATGGCGACGGTGCGTGGCCGAGCGCTCTTCGCGCTCTCTTCCCCGATCCTCTCCCTGACTGAGCCCCGACCGGCCCTGCGCCGGGAAGAGTATAAGGAGCAATCCTCACTGTCATCATCATGGTCACCATCGCGCTCATGAGCAGTTATCGTCTAATGCAGAATAAAGAGTACGGTACCGATCCAGAGTGTAGGGTAATAAAACCATCCTTATGAACAAAAAACCGATTTAGGCCCTCCACATCACAACCATGCAGCTTTGATTGCCTATCGGCAAATAACCCTGAACCAAATTCACGCAGAAGCCGGGAAAGTCTTTCTCTTAACAATCCTTTGCGACCGAAATCAACTCGGGGGGCAGCTGGGAAGTAGAACCTGCATGCCGCAAAACGCGGCCGCATGCACTCTTCAGATCTCCGCCAAGCTAACGTCACCTATAAGGATCTAGCCCCTTGGCCTCTGCGTCGCAGAACCTGGAAACCTGAAGTTAAAGGTTTACTCAGCTCCGCAACCCCGCGCCGACAATAAGGAATAGACCTTGAGCTATAAGGGACTCAATCACATGGCTTTAGGGCAATTAGGAACCTGAGTCTTCATCAGGGTTCTTTGTTTGGGTCTGTATCAGGGCTCTTTGTATGAATGCTCATATTTTGGGGCTCTCGGACCTAAGGTTTCTTATCAGTTCCTGCATGGTGTTCCTCAACTCAGGGGTTTAGGAGACAGCCGAGCTCTCCCCGAGCGCCCAGCCCAGCAAAGCGAGTATGCCGCGGCCCAGGGCGTAAGCGACTGAGGAGAGCCTGTGCCCTGTCAGCATTGCTTAGGGTTTAGGGTTTAGGGCATTGCTTCTTGAGCTGGTTTGTCTCTTCCTTTTCGGAGTCGCAGTGAGTTGTGGGGCCCAAGATTTCTCAGTTTGCAGCCTTCGTTCACTCGGACTTCGCCCTGTGTAGGATTTTGGGCTAAGGGAATGTTGTGACAATTATGACTCAGCATTCACACACACCTATTACGCGAGGTCTCGGGTACCAGGACATTGATGTGTGAAAGCCTGCTCAAGCTCGCGGAGCATGCGGCGAAGGAAGATGGGCACAAGCACCTTCAGCATCGATATCTAACGATGCGTTGTGTGTGTGTGTGTGTATGCGTACATGTCTATGTACATGCCTATGCCTATGCGTATGTCTATGTTTCTCTGTCTCTCTCGCTCCCTCTCTCTGTATGTATCGGTGTGTTTGCTAGTGTGTGTGTGTGTGTTTCTGTCGTGTCTCTGCGTATCTATGTATGCACTTACATACGTATGTATGCATATGAGTATGTATGTGGGGGTCGTGTGTATGTGGGCGTGTTGGCCTGTCTGTCTGTCTGTCTGTCTGTCTGTCTGTCTCTGTCTCTGTTCGTCTGCATGCAACGTATGCATGAATGTGTGTGTGTGTACATGTGCCATATATGTATGTGTATGCAAGGGCATGCAACGGTATGCGATGCCAAGCGATGGTAAGCAATGGTATGCACTGGTATATTCTGGTAGGTAATGGTTCGTATTGGCATGTAATGTTCTGTACCGGTACGCAGTGCAATGTCGTGTCACAATTGCCAGTCCATGCTTCAGCTGCAGTGGAGGCTGCTTGGAATGCGAAGCTGCAATTCGGGAACAGAACTGAGACCGGCACATAGAAGCCCACACCTCGGTTCAGGGTGTTTTGACACTCACACTCGGACAAGCCTGGCAAGGTCTGTAGCGATACTGGCCTTGAGAGGCAAGGACTGAACTCAGCACGTATCACCAAGTACACGGCACTGTCAGGCAAGGCAAATGACAGGACACATATACACACACACACACACAGACACACACACACACACACAGACACACACACACACACACACTCACAGACACACACACACACACAAGAGTGGTTTATTGTTTAGGCATTTTGCTACACCTACGTTCCGTCAACAGACAATTCGAGGAAATCTAGCAAGAGAGAGACCCATGGAGCAGCATTTAACTGCTTTGGGCCTATACGATTTAGGGAACCAAACACAGCCAACTCAGTATCAAACATCACCAAGATCCTTCGAGCGTACACTAACGGCTGAGGTTCGGAAGGCCAGCCAGCTGCCGTCAAGTTGCAACAGAGACTGCAGAACAGGTACCTGAGATCACGAAATGTTTGACCACCGGCTGAGGGCAATGTATGGACACCTAGAAGCCAAAAACGGCTGAAATCACCTCAAAGCTAGTTTTGCATTATGCTCTTCGAGTAGATACAACCAGAGATCTTTGGTCCTATGATTCCCGCTGCATGTCAAACTTCGGATCTGCTACTACTTTGGGTTAAACCTCTACCGCCCCGGCATCCCACAGAGCTACCTGCAAGCCACTGGAAGATCGGGCTCGTGCTGCCATGTGCTGCTGATCCTGTAGATTCCACTTTGTTCGCGTAGCTATCAAAAATGACTGGTGGTTTTTCAGAACGGGAAGGCCAACCCTAAACCCTAAACCCCAAACCCTAATCGCATCGAGTCTCTGTGCCGTGGGCCGCGCTGCAAGGCGCAGGAGCGGTCGTGCCAGGCGTGGAGGGCGCCGGCTGGAGGCGCTGTCGCACTCCTGTAAAGGAATAGAAGAGATCATCATAAACAAATATAATATAGTATTATATAATATAGTATAATATAGTATAATATAACATAGTATAGTCTAATATAATATAATATA